CAGTCCCAGTTGCCATTGCCAACCTGTAGTCTAAGAATCCTGCCGCCACATTCAGTTAAATTTCCATTTGTGTCAAACAGGCAGAGGTTGTGGATGAAATGGACAAAGCCTTAATATATCCTGATAACCCTTCATACTTCCAAAGATTTGAATATCTATAGAATTTAGATGTTTTTGAAATCCAGGAAAATGTGCTCTAATAGGATAATTATTGTGTTTCTCATGAATACTATCAACAATTTTGTCCCAAAGAGGCATAGTAAATTGCTTTTGGTAAACTTCAGGAAAATACTCCAGTGGTAATAGCAAGATAGCTATGAATGAATGTGTTGCAAACCTCTTCATGATGATTAGCATGCAAGTGTATGATGACATTGCCATGACTTGTTACTCAAGTTGAATAACAGCAGAGGAGTTTTAAGTTACCACAGAATAAGCCCGGCTGCACATTCACAGAGATTGCGAAGTAGACCAGAAAGCTATGTAACAAAATATGTTACTTTTCTCCTAGTCTTGAGAGAAAGCCATTTTTCCAGTCAATCTGTAGACTTTAAACATGTGAATAGAGAAAATACTTTACTGAATTCTTATTATAAAGGAATAACTTCCCTCCTCATTTATAGTTTTGATGTATAAAGTCCAGTGCTTTTTTTGTAAAAAAAAAAAAAGGGTGCCGGAACTCACACACGTCATACAACCCGCCTCGCCTACCCTTACAAGGTTCCATCCAAAAAAGGTGCCAGAACTCCGTTCTGGGCGTTCTGTGAGAAAAAAAGTCCTGATAAAGTCTAATTGCAATCTAAGATGAAGATGCCTAAATAGGATTTTTGGTGCTACATAGAAGTCTTATTAACTGCTGACTCTTGTTTGCTTATGATATGGGAGATTCAGTTTTGGATCATAATAATAGTGGTACAAGATTTAGCTTTGATAAACTCCCCCTCCTTTCTATCATTTGTCACTCAAGGCAAAAATGGTAAATATTAACAGGAAACCTTTGTTTTCTGCTTTTTGAGAAAGGACAACTTTAGTTAGGAACACAGAATCTGAATTGTGATCATGTGACTACAGAGATGGTGCGACAGTTGTATGTGCAAAGACCAATAATATGTCACTTTATTTGGTGGCATCATAACTTTGAATGGTCACTGAATGGTTGTAATTGAGGATTATCTGTATAAATCTAAATCGCTGCTATTTTCTTCAGATTTCCAACCTTCTGTTCAAATGCTTTTGGAATCTAGTAGTTTCCTCTTACTCTGTTTTGTTTTAGCTTCGATGTTCGTTTTTATTTTTTTATTGTATTCAGTTTTGCTATACATTGCCTAGAAATTTTAGAAATCGGGTGTAATATAAAATTTTAGAAATCGGGTGTAATATAAATATCTTAAATATATTCTCTTCATAATTATTTTTTCCAGTTGTAGCAACCGTTGCATCTTTGTCTCAAAAACACAAGGGAGAAGCTAAAATGAATATATTGTTTATTATTTCAATTCCATTATTTTTGAGTTTTGCACAGTGTAAAAAAAACATCTTAATGTAGGAGTTACTGAATAAAAGTGTCAACTAGTAGGAAGTTACTCCTTTGAATTTTTAGTTTGGTGATAATTGAAAACAAAAAAAATCTTTTGAGTTATGGATGAACTATGATTTAAAGCATGATCATTTTAATTCCCTTTATGTAATTATCTTTAAATCATTAATAATCTTGCAAACTGAGTAGTAGCCTGTACATGGAGGCACATATGAGGCACTCACAACACAAGCATCGTGAGAATAAATATTTTCATAGATGTGGACTATAGCCTATCTACCACTTTTCAAATTCAATTAGATATTTAGTGTTTAAATGATTAAAGTAGTTGTGTATGTACTTGCTTATGGAAACATTGGTTGGCAGGAACAGGACACGAGGCCTTTTTATTTTATAAACTACAAAATTCCAGAATCTTCTTTCAAGGTATAGCTTAATTTTCACTTGATACTATTTTTACACGTAGAATTTGAAACCGTTCATCAGTTGTTGTTCAACATTCTATCTAGTTAAGTTTTAAGAAACCACAAAATAAATGCAGTTCAAACTTGCAAGTGTTAGCGGAAACTAGAGACCCCAGGTATGTTTATGTAAAGGAGCTTTTTGTTCTTTCTCTCTGGAAAACCAGTTGTTGTTTCTTGGCAGCTCTCCCAGAATGGCTGATAAGTGGGCTATTTCCTAGGTTCTCACTCTGCAATATGGATTTTATTGTGGAAAATAATATTTTCACTGTGATCTGGGTGAAGGATATTATGATTATTACCTTTTCTTTTATATTATTATATTTGGGTTTTTTAAAAAAAAAATCCCATCAATTCAGAATGTACATTATTTAGAGCATGGGTGTCAAACTGCCGGCCCATGGGCCGGAGGCGTCACATGAAAGCTGCGCCCACCCCATTGCCGGCAATGGCAAAACCGGCCCGATACGTTGCGCGACGTCACGTGACTTCGCGAGTTTGACATGCCTGATTTAGAGTATTTGCAGTTAAAGCAGCCTATAATCCTTCACAAATAACAGTAAATAAATATTATGGGGATTTAGGAGGTTTTGTCATGTTTGCAGAAATTAATGAAATTTTGAATTTTTATGTATCTTTCCTGGCATCTGCCTTCTATTATGTCATGATCAAAGCATTGATTATGGTTATAATGGTAGTTTTAATGTATGCAATTATTTGTGAGAAAACACTATTGATCTCATTTTCTTTGGCTCTTAACTGGACAAGTACCCAAAATGTCTATAAATATAATCTCTATAATAAATCCTGTGCTTGCTTGAAACTCATTTTTTAAGGAAAAAATGCATGTCAGAAAGTATGTATGTATGTATATATACACACACAAAGAAAATCTTTAAATTTTATAATGTAAATCATAATCTTATACATTTTATAATCTTTATACAAACTAAAAGATTTTCTGATTTCCACAAATCATGGCATGGTTTTAAAACAAAATTATGTAGAATTATGACCTGTGGCATTATGTTTATTTCAGATTAGTCTCTGATTCTCCTTATCTGGCTTTCTACTTTTTCTGACTGTTTGGAGTGGGGATCTTCTTTTTCCAGTCTCAGAGTTTCTCTGATGTAAGTTTATTTCCAGCACTGTCAAATCTAGGGGTTAGGACTTGGTTTATTTGCCAGTCCAATAAACAAGACATGTACATTTACCGCATAAATAAAGTAGTGTTATTATCAAAATCCTTAGACTAGTGTTTCTCAATATCAGCAACTGTCAGATGGGAGTTGAAGTCCACACGTTTGAAAGTTGTTGAAGTTGAGAATCATTGCCTTAAAGTCTGTCTCCATTGCTGTCAGATCATACTTGCGGTAATTCTGAATTAAATAGTTCAGTTTTTGATTTTACAGTGCTAATTTGTTCATTGACTGGTATTAAACTTTGGAAACCTTGGGGACAGTATTGGATAAAAGCAAAGATATATTCTTATCATTTATAGTTCAGAACAGGGAGTGGCAATGTTTCTTACAAAATGATACTTGTGTCCAATTACAATTTCTAAAATTAAATTTACCCAAATTATGGTTAACAATTTATTTCCAGTTTTGTGACAAACATACCAAAATCTCATGCAGTTTGATAATTAGGAATTTGTTTAATATTTATTTATACAGATATTTGCCACTATTGCAAGTAAGTTATTTATTTATTAAATTTATGGGTTCCCCATCTTACTGTCATATAACTTTGACTATTCAGTTTTGATTGGATAGCTGGGAGCTCATATGTGAGATCAGGGAATGATGTCTGTCCTAAAAAGAACTACAGATGTGTTCAAGTTAAAGTAGTCTACTAAAACTTTTATTTCTAAATATTTTGAGGTCACAAGTTAATGCTTTTGAAAAATGTGACATGACCTTAGGATATGTGGTAGTTGTCTACCTGGTCTAATAGGACTAAAAAACTCTTGATGGCTATAGTCACATCTGACTCATCTTTCCAGTTTTTAAATGTGAATGGAGGCAATATTTCTGCACACCAGTCTTTGTCATAAGTTGTTGTACTTTTCCAATTAGTATGTTCCCAACATCCCCCTCAAAATGAGATGTTCAAGGATGCTAGAGTTGGCTTCTTTTGGAGGAAGAGTTCAATGGTAACTTTTATAGAATGGAGAAAAAAATCAAAATAACCTTGTAGCAAAGAGAAGATGTTCCATAGAGAAATTGTGGTTCTAATACATATCCAAGATATTTTCAGCCTTTAGCAAGCTGCTTCTCTATATCTCAGTCTCTGTTACAAACTGCTTCTATTTTATTTCTTCTTCCTGCCTCTATATGCCTCAGTATCAATAAATGGCCATTATCAAAGAACAATCTTTTTCTTTTAATTTGGAGGGGGCTGTCACTAAATTTGCTATGTTGATTAAGAACATTGCATTCAGCCCCAATAAGGAAATTTACTTATTTATTAAATTTATATACTACCCATATCACTATCCAAAGTGATCTTGGATTCTTCCTACCCTCTATTTGTTTTAAAAGTAACCTGATGCCTTGAGCCACTATAGCCAATGGCAAGAGATTGTTGGACCTCTGTTCTAAAATATGTGGTGGAGACCACATCTCTTAATCTTTATTGTGTACAGCCAAAGATATTGCTGATTTATAGCAGTAATTTTATTGTTAAATGGGAAAAAAGTGAATATACAGTACCTTTCAGAAGGAAGAACAATTAACCTGCTTTGAATCACCAAATTCTTTTTCTATTGTAATAAGCTGGGAAGATGGTTTGGAATTTATTATAGCTTTCCTTAACTTAGATGTCCTCTAGTTGGGTGTCCTGATAGATGTCCCACCTCTCTGTTTATTTAGCTTCACTGAATTTGCTTGCTCAGTAAATGTGGCAATCTGTCTCTGATTTGATGTTAAGATCTAAAGCAGCCATATAGATATCTTTTGCATTGACTTATGAGATATTTTCCCCTGTTCTTACTTCACCAGCTGCACTGCAGGCACTGAAAAGAAAAAAGAGGTATGAAAAACAGTTGAGCCAAATTGATGGGACTCTTTCCACTATTGAATTCCAGCGTGAGGCTCTTGAAAATTCCCACACAAATACAGAAGTGTTCAAGAATATGGGCTATGCTGCTCAGGCCATGAAAAAAGTACATGAAAACATGTAAGTCGAAAATATTGTCAAACCCCACAGAAAATAACCTTAACTCTTACATGTACACCTATTTGGTGGGTTTCTTTCTTTCTTTCTTTCTTGATGCTAAGGTTTGTCTTCGGATATAGATAAAGTTGCTAAGATTTTACTGTTACACATTAATCTAAAATTGAATTCTTTTCTGGGATTTACCTGCACAGCAGCAGGTAAGATTAATGTGGCCTGAACCATAGATCACTGCAAGTTGTACATATTTCTGCAACTGAAATTTCTGCATGTCTCTACCAATAGGTATCTTTTTTCCCCTTTTATATTGCCCTTCTCCAAATCGAATACCTGAAGTTGAATGGAATTCAAATTCCAGAATTCTTCTGTTACAATGGTAATTCCTTAGAATTGTGGGAATTGAAGTTTGTACATCTGGAAGGTACACACTCTGGAAAAATAGAATCTTCCAGAAATCTTCTGAATGTTTGGTCCTTCTGTGAACCTTGCCAATTCAGCCATGCCAAAAATAGTATAGTGACTTTACATATGTTAATCCTCAAAGCCAGAAATGGTTCATGATGTTCTGGGCATAAAAGAGAATTATTTTATGGCTTATCCATCTCTAGGACACCCATGTTTAAGTTCCCAATTAGAGTTTTCCAAATCTCCAAAATGCAAACTGCTTGAAAACTCACTGGGACTGCCCCTTATGTACATACCTGTTTTGCTTAATTAATAATTTGATTCAATACTTTTTGTAAGCAGTTCAAAGGCTCTTATAGGATTTAAAGCCGTTATGGAATTTGGAAGTTGAATACCTGAAGGCATTTTTCTGCAACTTTCATCTTATCACAGGCTAAATTTGCCTTTGATGGCCCTTTAAATACACTAATAAGCCAAGATAATGGTTTATAAAGAGTGTGAGTTTATTAATTATACTTTGTTTTATTGAAGTGCTTCATTAAAATAGATAACTTAATATTATATCTTTACAATTTCCCCAGACCTTCAATACCGCCCCCCAAAATTTAAATCTCTATTTTGCTGTTGCTTTTTTTTGATGATTATTGATATTTATGAAACCCTCATAATTTTACTGGAATCCACTCTGCCATCCTGTCGTGAAGCATGATATACAAATTGACTAAATAATTCCTTCTTTCCTTCTATCCTTAGGGATTTGGACAAAATTGATGAAATGATGCAAGATATCACTGAGCAGCAAGATATTGCCCAAGAAATCACAGAGGCTCTCACAAGAAGGGTTGGTGATGACTTTGATGAGGTATGTTTTGACATCTAAGAACAAAAAATGTCCCTGACTTTAATATTACTGCTAATTTTAAATTTGCTATAATTGTTGTCTAGCTCTTTTCCATGTGCTTTAACATTTTTCCTGAAATACACTTGAATTCTCAAATGATTGAAGAAATATTTGTTGAAAAATAGAGACTGGAATGTCCTGAATAAAGTATTCAAAAGAGAATGCAAATTGTTATGTCAAAACAATGCAAAACATATTCCCATTTCTGACAAAATAATTGAATTTTTGACATATCAGATGGAGTCTACATAGGTAGTAGCAATGTGTGGTACATTCCTAATTTTATTCTAGCTTGTCAATCATGCCTTCTAGTACACTCCATTGTCCTCATATGGCATTCAGGGAAGCTGTGTCACTTGCAAGGAGGGAAGATTACAGTTAAGCTACTGTATTTTTCTCTATTCCCATTTTCACCATACTTGCAAACCAGCTCTTCTGTTTTGAGGACCTCATCTATAGGTTGTGATTCAACACAGAAAATAGAAAAAGCTCCCTATTTTAGCCCATGAAGAAGATAATGAAAGGTGGAATACAAGACGGACTCCTCTTCTTTGTGTCTTGTGATGAATAACAGTTGGCAGACTTCAAGAGGTCTTGTTCTATCCCTCTTTCCCCACTTTTCTGTTTTTGCCCTCATTAAGAACACATTTACTAAGCATGCTCAGATCATATTGAGATATTTGGAGTGGAATTCATTAATATCATTTAAATTAAGTCATTTTCTACCACTAAACTGAAGCAACTGTGAGTATGTAGCAATAGCTTCTCTATACAAAACCAGAAAGACTGAAGCCATAGAGTCATTTTTGGGTAATAGAATGACCACAAAGTAGAACAACTCTTTTTTTAAAAAAAAATACTCGTAGCCTTTTTTTGTATTCAACTATATTTTGTATTCAACTATATATTTTTAGTACCATAATATTATTTTGATATTTTGATATTTTTTACGTTATTTTATTTTATTCTTATCAATCAATAGCTACTTAAAATATTTGGTTGAGCTCTTGTCAGGTGCAAAATATCAGGTACATTCATAAAATTGCATCATAGAAGATTTATTCATACACAAGAATCTGGTCAATTAATGGTCAGTACTAAACTGGCGCTAGATAAGGGTAAATGGAATTCAAGGGGGGGCTGGACTTGGATATCTTATGGCAATGCAAGGATTCTAAACTGATGACACATTTAACTCTGCCCACCAGCTTTGCCTGCTGTTCTACAGATCTCCAATAAAATTTATTTGTCCTAAAAGTATCCATTTGTATAGGTTCCTGGCATGCTGAAAACCTAAAATAAACTTATAAAGTTTCTTTTATAAAGTTTATAAAGGCAACTATACTTGGTTGGCTACAATTGTGAGACTGTTGTAATTAGAGGTTCTGTTGACTTTAGGCATTGTTTATTGAAATATAACCTGCCAAATTTTAAAATTTCAGGATGAACTTTTGGAAGAATTAGAAGAACTGGAGCAAGAGGAACTCAATAATAAGATGAAAAATGTTCATTTACCAAGTGTCCCAGCTACCCAATTGCCTTCTCATCCTGGTAAATTGTTTTCTTATATTAATTAGTCTATTATGAAAGTAGGATATAAGAATATTAAGGAGAAAAGGAAAAATCACCAAATTTAACATACCTGGATATCATAGTAGCTATCTTAACATCTAAGAGTGATATGAGTTCTTGATGTCAGTGAGGAGTACTTATGACTGGTCCTCATAGTTTTGGTTGTTGGTCACGTGATGCCAATTTGGATATCTGACAACCAGCTCACAATTATGACATCACAGCATCCTGTGTCATGTAATGATCATTTGCAAACGTCATTCACAGCTTTCAGCAAGCAAAGTCAGTGAGGAAGCTGGCAGAAAGTTTGGTGATCACTTGACTACAGAATGCTGCTACTGCATGGGATTTGCCTAAAAATGGCAACTGGAATTGCTATCATAAGTCAGTGCAATCACATGATGTTCCTTCCTTGCTTAGCGATGGCCTTCTCAGTTCCAATTACTGGAAGTGAGGACCACTAATAATAATTGGAGTATTTTGAAAAAATACACTGTACACGGAGTAATAATTTGGCAGTAGCCAAAGCTGAACTTGGATTTGGTCATCTGGATTCAGGTCTTCTGATCTGATGTAAAGCTATGCAAAGAATTCTTATTGAATAGTTTTACTGAAATCATCCTTTTACAAGATGTGTCTTGTAAAATATGTCTTTTAATTTTTAGCCACAATGCCTCTAATCCAAATATTCTTTCCAGAGACTGCAAAACTATGTTCTTCTAGTATGCTGAAAAATTATTATCTTTTGTTATAGCATCTTCAAAGAAGAGGGTGGAAGATGATGACGATATGCAGCAACTGGCAGCATGGGCATCTTAACAGCAATTTCTCACTGGGTTCAAGGGAATACTACGGGAATATCATGGAAGGACTTCATTGAATAGTGCTTATATTTTATACAGAATGTAGCTGTGTGGAATTTTGACCCAAATTGGTCACTGGTAGAATATGTGTATATATTTTATATAGTCTTGTATATATTCTTTTGTTTTTTTTAAAAAAGCCAGCATTCTCAAGTATAGTCTTTCTCCTTCAGTTATATCTCCAGACATACCATTTTTATGCTAAAGAAACCAGATAACAAGCAACACTGAATTTTAATTAATGTTATTCTTCTTAGCTGATACTTTTTTAATGCCCAGAACATGTATAGGTTGCAAAACCTATTGCTGCAATAGTGAATGTTTCAGTGGTTTGAAAGAGAATTAAAATTGGCTTGGTTTTGGAATTTTTTTTATTCACAACTTATTTTTTATTTTATTCACAACTTATATGCCGCCCTTCTCCCCATGGGACTCAGGGCGGCTCACAGCATGTTAAAACAATATAAAACATTTCCCCTCTAAAAGCCAATTAAAAACCAAATATTTGTTGCTGTGTCTTGATAAAATCCTTAAAATTGTCCCTATTTAAAATTCACCCTAGGTCAGACCCGCTTGCTGAAAAAGCCATG